AAGCCCACATCCTCGGTGGGTGTTCCGAAGTAGCCAGGTGAGCGCTCGGCCCCTGGAGCGTCACACCTTCCCCTAGTCCTCCCGAGGGCAACCATCCCTTGGGGTGATTTCCCTGCAAATGGTGCGCTCAGACCGCCCTTGTCGGAGAGCAGCTCGTGTGGGAAGAAGCGGCAGCGACCACAGGGTGTTGGTCATGGCGGCCAGGGGCACTGCGGCAGAATTTTTTCCGCCGTTCTTTGCTGCAATCTGGGTGCGGCTAGAGCAATTTGTCATAGAATCTGGGGGGCTCATTTTTCCGGCCAATCATTTTTAGAGAAATGAGCGCATTGCAGCAGAATGCGCTGACGTCAGAGACCACCCCTTCTGCGCCTCCATATAAACCCCACCCAGCCAGCCCCTAGCGCAGACGGCGGAGAGCTGGGATCGAGCGCGCCGGCCCCGCTGGCCTTGGGTGCAGCTCCGGGGCAGCTCCGCGGGAGAGCAGGCGCCCACGCCATAGGCCCTCACCTGGTGAGTGGTTGGCCATCCTTGCCTCAAAGGATGTGCGCGAGGAGGACGGCACCCCCTTCTGGGCTGGGCTCTGTCCTCCTGGACCTGCTGAGAGGCCGATGCCGGGGCCTCCTGAAGGAGACCACTTTGCCTGGTCCCCTAGCCTCGGCAGCGAAATTCTGTCGGGAAGGAAGATCGGGCACGTTTTTCTGGGGGAGAAGCAAGACTCCTTTTTCGGCCAGTGGTTGAGGGTAGACTGGGTGGTGGGGACTTAAAGTGAGGACCAGGAGTGAGATCAGCCCCGGTTGGGATCCAGGACAACACAGCCATGGGGTCCAGACCCCCGGTCTGCTGTACGAAGCTGCCCTCCGAATCACGTTTACGGTTGAGGTATGGCGGCGATGCATTCTGCAAGTCCCATGAATTAGGCGGTATAGTACCCCAAAAGAAGGGTCTCAGGGCATGTCTGCTCCCTAGTTTCTGGCCAGGTTCTCAGTGGACCGTGGGCAGGAGGGGTGGATGTTCCTATCTGCCAGGGATTCTGGATGCAAATACCCTGGTTTCGTAGAGAGTGGTCTCCTATCAGAACTCAGAGAAACCATTCTAACCTATACCATCTGGCGCCATCCTGATAACCACGCTGACCCTGGGCAGAGATGGCGCCCAAGCGCAAACCTGCCAGGAGCCCCCCAGGATCAGTTCCGTAGAGAAGCAGTTAGAGGGGAGGTCAAGGAGTTGGCAGAATAGAAGGGGTTGGGGAGTTGGGTGGACAGAAGGTTGTGTCCTTGGGTCTAGGAGGAAGGAAGGCCGAAATACGGAAAAGGGGGTGTGTTAAGAGGCCCTGGGCTTCGGGAGGTGGGAATTGGGGATAGGGGTCTTTTCAGCATTGTGGGGTGGTTACTGGAAGATTTGGACATGCCGCAGGCTTTTGACTTTTTATTAAAGTCGCCTTTTGCCATTTCCTTTGTCCCTGTCAAGCCCCCCCAAAGCCACCCCCTTCCCCACTCTGGGCTGGCAGGCTTGGTGGTGGTGGTGGTGGGGCGGCAGCGAGTGGTTTGCTACGTGGCAGGTTTCTGAGAATTTTATTGTTGTGGGCTGGCAGGCTTGGTGGTGGTGGTGTGGGGGCGGCAGCGAGTGGTTTGCTACGTGGCAGGTTTCTGAGAATTTTATTGTTGGCCGCGAGAGGGCGCTGGTGGCACTGCGGAATTTTGGGGGGCGGGGTGGGGAGGGGAGGTGGCCTTTGTTCTTCTGCTGGAGGGGGTCGGGCGCAGGATTTACTGGGGGATTCTGGACTCATTAACCTGGAGGGGGAATGTTTTAGTATCTCTAGATTCTCTGGGGAGCGGCTACAGGAGTCGCGCTGGTCAAAAGCTGTGGTCAGCCACACTGTGACTTCGGGTGTAGGGAAGAGCGTTAACTCCGATGAGTTCATTTGCAGTGGTTTTTGGTTTGGGGGATCCTAGGAAGGTGTGGCCAATTTGAACAGGTCGAAAGGGCTGTGGAAAAGGTAGGTGCCATGGAGCGGAGTCTTGAAATCCTTTCTGTACAGGGCTGAGGAGGAAGGCAGGGTTTTGGAGGGAAGACTGTGGATGCCTGGGCGCAAGAGGGAAGAGGTGGACCGTCCTGGTTTTCTAGCGATACCACATTTATTTCGTGTGTCCTGAGTGCAGAAATAAGTGCAAATGTTGCTTTGCAAGTTGAGCTCTTAGGTTTGAATTGGATTTACTGAAGGTCGGAGCCAGATCTGTGTCACGTAGCAAAAGGAACCGTGCTCTGGAAAGACCCTTGTGGCGGGAGTCCTTTTGATACCTCCCGCCTTTCTGGTACGGGTGGTCCTGTGCTGTGGTTCAAGAACCACCTCCTCCTAATGCCAGGAGATTGGACATACGGAAGTCCCCTGGACGAGAGCTTGGGCATGCTTCCCCATGGCCACAGGTGGGCCTGGGAGCTGTAGGCCTGGTCCAGGCCTGGTGCAAGCGCAGGCGCGGGCGCCGCAGGTGGCTGTGCTGCGGGCTCTGGGTGCGGGCTGCGCGCCCTCTGCCGGTCTGTGCCTGTAAATGGCTCCTGGTCCGCTAAATCAGGTTTCAGGTTGCGCATGCGTACTCGGCCAACACTTGTGGCCTGTCAATCATGTCATCTTTACCCCCTCCCACTCCTCTCCTCCCCCTCCCATTTCTCCTTTTACCCCTCCCTCCTTCCTTTTCATTTTCCTTATCTGTCCTTTCCCTTCCTCTGCTTCCTTATTCAACCCTCCTCCTGTCTCCCTGGTCCTCCATCCACACCTCCTTCCCTTCCAAGCTCTGCCTCCCTCCTCTCTTCTCCCCTTTGCCACCCCTCCCTCCCTTTCCCTCTCATTGCTGTTCCTGTGCTGGCCATTAGAGGTCATCAAGATGGTTTCTAATCCTGCCCCCTCCCGTGCCATAGGGTCTCTCTTCAGGGATGACATCATCTGTTCACCTCCTTGTCTTCAAGGACCACCTCCTCCTGAAGCCAAGCTGCTGCCGAGGTACCCGCTGCTCATCTCCACCTTCTGGTACCTCCTCCCCTCCTCGTGGCACTTCATACACAGTACAGGGGGCAGCACCCCGCCCCACCACTCTCCTTGTGCACCCTTGGACCCACTAGTAATATAAGGCAATTTAAAACTTGCAGCTAATTAGTTTCCATTGCAATTATAAAATTAGCTTAATGAATACCTAGACTTGGGCTTTTCAGCAGGTCCTCTAACTTGTGGTCACTTGCACAGGGGCACTAGGAGCACAGATCCCTGGATCCCACCAGCACACAGAGCGGCCACCTGTAGAGCCCCAGGACCAGCAGCAGACCCCCAGGACAGGACTGCAAGAAGGAAGAGGATCAGAACTGACCAGCCAGCTGTTCCTCCTGGCTAAAGACTTAAACCAATGCCCTAGTGAGGGGGCACTGGTCGCCCCCACCCTTTGCTGTGCTCCCACCTCCACTCTGTGAGCGTGCCCTCCAAGTCCCTGCGTGTGTGCACCTGCTAGCCAACTGGAGTGTTTCCCTCCCCGGGGCGGAGAGGCAGTCCTTCTCTCCGAGCTGTTACCACAGTGTCCCGAATGGAAGGATCCCTCTGGGAGCTCCTCAGGAGGGGGACCTGGGCCCAGGGCTTGGACCTGGCAAGTCCAAGACCTCGGTGGCTTCTGGAGTGTGCATGCCACAGAGCCACCAGGGCATACCCACCTGTCTGGAGGCCTCCCTGTCCTTTTCTAGGGGATGGGGACCGTAGGAGCAACCTCCTAGGGTTGTTGTGAGAATTAAATGCGCTAAAGCGGCCTCAGGCCAAGACTGGGCATAGAGGTGATCAGCAAATGTTTGTTGAGGAGGTCTGGCAGGGCAGTCCGTCCCCCCTCGCTCGTTCTGTCTGTTTATCCTCCAGCAGCCCTGCTGACAGTCGCTGTCCCGGGGCTCTCCTTGTGCCTGGGGGAGGTTCCACCAAGGTGGCGGTGAGGCTGATCTGAGTAGAAGCCACGGTATGCGGCCATTTGCCCAGCGCTTTCCACGTAATCAGAACTTGTTCTGTCTACAGAACGTGTATGTGACGAGGCAGCCTCATTTCCAGAGGAGGGTGAATTTGGTGTTAATGGCGTCATTTTCGAAGGTGGTGGGAAGGGCGCCCGGGAGGATTGGTAGGGCCCATTCCCACTGACAGTAAGTCTTTTGCTGTGTTGCTGGCCAGAGAAAGGCTCGTAGCAGGATCCTGCTGCCTTTGGAGCTGCCCTGTACCCCTCCACTGCCCCTGGCCTACCCATATACTAGCCCTTTTATTGCAAAGCAGACGTTCGACAATAGAACAGTCTGTTTGAAATCCCAGCTGCCCAGGGTGGTCTTAGGGGTCTGGGTGGCCCCAGTGCTGGCACCATGTGCTGGCCTCACCCCTGCATAACCGGGTGACCTTAAACAAGTTGCTTAACTTCTCCACGTTTCAGTTCCTTTCATGGTCTAAATGGGGATTTAAAACAAAACAAAACAAAACAAAACCACCCTGCGTTTATCTACCCCACAGGGCTCTTTTGAAGACCAAATGATGTAAGAGCTATGAAAGTGATTTGGAAGTGGCTGTGGAAATTGCGAGATACTTAGCACCCCAGGCTCCCCCTCATTGTTAACTGTCCAGCCCCATCTCCCCCAGTCACATGGTCAGCACCCAGTAGGTGCTGTGTGTGTGCTCGGTGTGTAAATCTCAGAATAAGTACCAACAGAATAAACTCAACAAGCATTTTTTTGGAGCACCGACACTATGCCCAGTGCACCAGGCCAGAGATGTGATACAGAGATAATGAAAACAGTCTCTTGGAAGCTAATTGGGGCCCTCATTTGACCAGCACTTTTCTTTCGTCCCCTTTTAAGCCAACCAGTTTTGTCCGCACAGGACAAAAACAGCTCGGGCCCTTTAGAGAAGCCCAGCTTGGCCGGACAATGGCTCCCGGGCATCTGAAGGGCTGATTGGATTATGTAGCAAAAGGAGGTAGAAAGATGACTTGGAAGGTGACAAATGAAGGGGGCGGGGCCTGCTTTGAGTTAATCCAGGCTATTAGGAGGGAGCCTTTGTCTTCCAGAGACTGACAGGAGTTTTCACCACTGGTTTTACATCCTTAATGTTCAGGACAAATAATTTATGGTCCATGGAAGTCCAGGCCCCACTGAGAGTGGAGTGGGCTGGGAAACGGGGCCCTGCGACCAGGGCACACTGAGCGTGCACGTTGTCTGCGTCCCTTCGCAGGTGCAGAGCCCGTTTTGCAATCACCCATCCATTTGATCCTCACAACTCCCTGTCCTGAGCAGTACTGGCCTCCGCAGCCCAGGGGAGCAGAGGCTGTCAGGTCGCCCCTTAGACCGGGCCCGCAGTCTGGCTGCACTTAGCCCTTGTCCATCTGTGTACCTGTCTAGGCCTCTCCCTCCCCTGCAAGACTCGGTCTGCATTCTAACTTTGCTCTTCCTGCAGCCTGGAACTCCCAGGTTCTCCGGTCTGTCTTGCTGCCACTATAGTCTCTGTCTTTCCTTCCGCAGCCAAGCTTCTCGAAAGGCCTGTCTCCACTTGCTATCTTCCTTCCTCACCTCCAATTCCTCTTCAGCCCACTACTTCCTGACTTGCTCTGCTCCATCCAACGGCTCCCAGTAAGGTAAAGGTATTTCTGCAGCTTCACCTGGTGTCCCTGTGGCCCAGGGACACCTGGGCACGCCTCTGTCCCTTGCGTGGCTCTGTAGCTCCTGCCCGCTTGTTCACACACACACTGAGACGTCTGCTCCATGTCTCCCAGGACTCACAGGCCCAGGTCGTCCAGCTCCTGGGACCTGCCTCTTGCCATCTGAGCACATGGCCTTGGGCACTCGGGACGGCTCACCTGGGTGTGAGTCCAGGACTCCTTAGTGCCAAGAGCTTGCGGGTCACCTTTCCTTCAGTTGTAAAGGAGTTCATAATCTACCTGGCAGGTCAGATGGCCCGTCCTATAGGTAAGCGCCAGACACTATTCGAGGGCCTTGATGTCAAAGTCAAGGTTTTCATGAGAAAGTAGATTTTCTTCCATCCTGTTTCCACAGGAGGACCGAAGAGAGGTGGCATGAGACA